TATTATTTTATTGTCTATTATTATTATATTTTAATATTTTATTATTGATAATTAACATTTTTAATTAATTTATTTTTTCGTGAAAACAAATAATATACAACATATTTGATTTTGATTGTTTTATTCGTTATTATTATTTTATTATTTATTAATTAATATTTTTATGTTTTTTTACGTGAAACCCAAAAAAATGCTGTATATTTTATTAAAATTGAGTATTTAGCAAAATCTACATCAAAATAATTTTAAAGGTTTTTTGGAATTTTTTTCTTAAGAATTCGGACTATATTTTCGATGTATTGCAACTCGATAGTTTTCATTTAACGCTAGTATGGAGTAGTCGACAGTTAAATAAAAGTGAATATCACTGACCTGAAGAAATAATTTAAAACAAAAATTAAACAAAAATAGATAAAAAAAAGATAAAATAAAATAAAAAATATCTCATTCATTCATTAATGAGGAGGATCTGAAAATTTCCCAGAAGTTTCGTAAATTTTAATTTTTTAAGCGATTATACATAATTTTAGAGGTGCCTGTATATATATATATATATATATATATATAATTTAAGAGGTATATATATATATATATATATATATATATATATACATAATTTTAGAGGTGTCTGTATATATATATATATACATAATTTTAGAGGTGTCTGTATATATGTATATATATACATAATTTTAGAGTGTCTGTATATATATATATATATATATATATATATATATATATATATATATATATATATATAGCTATTACTCGTATACGAGGATACCCGTTTACTAGGGCAACTAGCTAATTCCTATTGCAGGCGCTTGCTCAGGCGCATTTGCTGTGCTAGCATGAAGTCACAAGTCATCGTGGCCGCGGGCTTGAGTGTGCTGCCTTGCTCAAATTGTTTATCACACTAGATAGCATACACTTTCCCAGAAACTGTAACCAACTTTCCTCGAATTAGACCTAGCAATTGATTCGATATTGTCTGTACTCTTCATATCAGGGGAAAACGTGAAGCCATGATGATGTAGAGTGTTGCACTCCTGGAAGTTACCATTAGCCGTACTGATGGCAGTCAGTCCAGAGCGACAATATTTTTACAGTTATTATAACGTACTCGATAAAAACTCGTCGAACTTTTAATATCATCATTACATGCTCAGTTGACTATTAGGGGCCTAGAGGCACGACATGTACTGTAGCCACAGTAACAGGAGTGTGTCCTGGGCAAAATAACCTGACGGGGTCCATTACTCCCCATGGTGGTTTTGAATTCAGAGTTTTTCTTTCTCGTAAACCGGTTGCCAATCAATGCTATAAGACCTAGTCTATCCTGTTATTTACGCAGAGATGGGAGGTTGGGAGAAGATGGATTATGACCTTTTGTAGAATAATTGGTCAGGGGTATACATGATTTCAGAGGGCCTGTATATATATATATATATATATATATATATATATATATATATATATATATATATATAAAAGTGAACATAGAAGTCAATACTTAGATGCAGTCGTCAGTTTTGACGATTGCAGTCGTCAGAAACAGACTGTCGCATCTAAGTGTTGACTTCTATATTCACTTTTATATTTACACACGCTCTATCGCTGATATTGAGCACATCTTAAGACTATATTTCTTCATCATATATATATATATATATATATATATATATATATATATATATATATATATATATATATATATAATGCTAAAAAAAAAAAAATTATTAATTAAAGAATATAAAACACTTAAAATCCAATGATAATTTTTATTTCATGAAAGCTAGAGGTAAAGGTCTTGAAGACTGAGATCTATTTTTTTTAGAGCTCTCATGAAATAAAAATTATTACCTATGGTGTCTTAAGTGTTTGATATTCTTTAATTAATAAACATTTTGCTCTGTCATTTAGCATAGAGCTTTCCTTGATATATATCTCCTGGGAATTCCATACGGATTGACATATTGTATTATTACAATATATATATATATATATATATATATATATATAGCATGAAACAGCCTCTCGCCACTGAGTGTTGAATTAAATGTTCATTATATATATATATATATATATATATATATATATATATATATATATATATATATATATATATATATATATATATATATATATATATATACTACAGTTCAAAAGTTTAAAGCCAACCCCAAGATTAGCGTGAGATGAACTTGACATCGGACGATGATAGGTAATAAAGGGACATTATAGTTCCGCAACATAAATGTTTTTGTGTAGCGATGTAAAATATTATATACTACTCGACTCTCCTGTCGAATACGACGTATGAGGGTCAAGCAGATCAGTTTCCAGGAAATCGACAGCCCAACAACAGCACATGAGATTTGATTATAGTGGTGAAGGTTGCGTGCAGGACCATCCACACTTTTGGAAGGGACGAATACAGAGACCTCCGCAGGTTTTGAATTTAGAGTTTTCCTTCTCCTAGACCAGTTGCCATCCAAGGCTATAGAACCCAGTCTGTCCTGCTATTTACCCATAGCTGGAAGAGGATTCACACCTTTCCCAAGGGTGTTAGCACGAAGTGAATGTAATGGATTCGAATGGAATTCGAACCCGGCTCTCCGATTCCTCAATCCAAGCCGCTATCCATTACTCCTCACACACACATGTATATAATATATATATATAATATATATATATATATATATATATAATATAATATAATATATATATATATATATATATATATATATATATATATATATATATATATATATATATATATATATATATATCTCGTCTTATTATTCAAATAAGACAGAAATGTTCATTTTCTGCAACATTTTAGTTGGTGGGACGACTCGTTCCGAATAACTGAATTAGATATACTAGATTTAATGTAGTATATAATTAATTTTATTTTTTTTTACTACGGTCTAGGGTGGAAATGTTAGCATTTGTTAATTTGTTATAATTACAATGTATTTGGTTACGATAAAAAAAGATTAACTATAAGAGTGAATGTCCAAAGTACTATAAAATAGCAATTATATAAAAAAAAACCGTAATAAACCGTGCAAAAAGTAATTAATCCACAAAACAGATTTTCTAAAGTGAGCTAAAAAAAATAAAACAAACTCTTATTAATAATAACTTACCTAATTATATTGTTGACGAAAAAATTGAATATCTATCAGAAATCTTAATACAAAGCAAATAGAATACAATACTGCAAACATATTAATATACCAAACATATTAATAGTTTATATCGTAAATACTTTAATTACATACGACACATTTATATCGCCAAAAAAAAATTATATACTATACTAATTCTAGTATATCTAATTCAATCTTTTTTAGCGACTCTTCCACACCAACTAACGTATTGCAGAAAACCAAAATTTTTCGCGCCCTGGGTAAGACGATAAACTTATTCCAAACCCAAGACCTCTGATCAGGAGGTTTTGAGGAGCGTTGAACCACCTCTTAATTGTTGGTGTCCCAAGCTCCGCTCTCACCCAGGGTCTGGCTAAAACACTATGAAAGTGTAAACATAGCTTTAATACCAATAATAAACTTTATGAAGGAAAAAAATATTACTAACGATACATTTTTAAAGGAAAATATTACCAGCAATAATTTTTTGATCGAAAAATGTATTACGAGCAATGCATTTCTGAGGAAAAGGGTATTACCAGCAATACGTTTTTGAGGAAAAGGCTATTACCAGCAATGTATTTCTGAGGAAAAGGCTATTACCAGCAATGCATTTTTGAGGAAAAGGCTATTACCAGCAATGCATTTTTGAGGAAAAGATCATTACCAGCAATGCATTTTTGACCAATACAAATCTGGTCGGTATTATATAACATATTGAGGTTGATATGCCGTAAAACAAAAGAAACCACTCTCCCTCTACCTTTAATAATGACACCAAAATATTTGTCCGTGAATATCAAAGGATAAAATCGAAAATAAGTAGACAAAATTTTACATTATTCGGAATATTATCCTCATATTTGTCGCCATATTTATTACAACGTTTCGGTCGTTGTACGCTCCGGCCTTCTTCAGGTGGTCGGATTGCCGAACCCTAACCCTTTATTTCGCTCACTGGGGTAGACTGTCCTAGTTCCACATGCCTTGTCTAATGGATGTCAGTTATCTCCTGTTAATTCCCCTCTCCATGTTCCCCACTGCCTTAACCAGGTATTGAACTCACACTCTTTGCGCCCTGTCAGTGGATCTAACTAACATCTCTATCCAATGTGCCATGCGTCCTTGAGGACACATGGCAGAGTGGATAATTAAATAATTGGGGAATTAACCCGGAGGTAACTGATAACTAAATTATTCAATGAGACATGTTAATGAAAACACGCTGCCAATATATATATATATATATATATATATATATATATATATATAAATAATGCAATGTGATAGGTCCTGACCTGGCATCTCGACTCCAGTCACTTTCCAACAGATGGAATGTGGATCCCCTCTGTCATGTAATTGCTTTGATAAGCTATTTTCACTGGTACCCCAACTGAATGAATTGAAGTCTGCTACTAGGTTGGCATCTCGGTCCCACCCTTTCACTGCAGAAACAGTTAAATGTAATCGCCTCTTCTACTCCAACAGTTTTTCTCTCGCACTTCCCGTCAGTGGAACTCCCTTCCTCTTACTTGCTTCCCTGATAACTATAATCTTCAGATATTCAAATGTAATGTCAATCGGCAGCTTCTGATACCCTGACCTTGATCCTCTCTCTTCTTTATCCTTTCCAAAAACACTCCTATTTTCTCTTACTTTCACTGTGTTACCCCTTGTGTGCTCGTGGCACTTCCGCTTTGCTTGAGTGAAATGTAATATATATATATATATATATATATATATATATATATATATATATATATATATATCAAAGTATATAATTGGTATACACGGAATATGGGGAACTTTCCGGTCGTTTTAGACGTATGAGGATCAAGCAGCTCAGTTCCTAGGAACCCACAGCCCAGACACCAGCACATAGGATTTGATTATAGTGGTGAGATAGATAGATAGATAGAAAGATATGAACTGACTGAGATAGATAGATAGATAGATAGATATGAACTGACTGAGATAGATAGATAGATAGATAGATAGATATGAACTGACTGAGATAGATAGATAGATAGATAGATAGATATGAACTGACTGAGATAGATAGATAGATATGAACTGACTGAGATAGATCGATAGATAGATATGAACTGACTGAGATAGATAGATAGATAGATAGATAGATATGAACTGACTGAGATAGATAGATAGATAGATAGATAGATAGATAGATATGAACTGACTGAGATAGATAGATAGATAGATAGATAGATAGATAGATAGATAGATAGATAGATAGATATGAACTGACTGAGATAGATAGATAGGGAGGGAAAACGGAATTTGACGAAGATAGCAATTAATTAGCACATACATAAGAAACGAAAATCGATCAACAGAGAGAGAGAGAGAGAGAGATAAATTAAGTAGTAAAGAGAGGCATGCGAGAAGGAAACAGAAGAGAGAAAGAGAGATAGAATGAAAGGAACGGGAAAGAAAAGGAGAACGAGAGAGGAAGATAAAGAGATAGAAGTATGTGAGAAAGACAGAAAAGGAGAGAGAAATAGCGATAGAGAGTGAATGTAAGAAAGGGTGAGAGAAAGAGAGTGGGAGAAGGGGAACGAAAGCAAAAGACAGACAGAGGACCAGAAACAGAGAGAGAGAAAGAGAGAGAGAGAGAGAGAGAGAGAGTCAGAAAAGTGTAAATGAATTCAAACAACTTAAACATACAGGCCTGTCAAATATTTTTTAAACACAACAGACTTGCTTTAGAACAATCTCACTTATATTTGAGACTATATACATTTTTTTTATATATATATATATATATATATATATGTGTGTGTGTGTGTGTGTGTGTGTGTGTGTGCTTAAGTATACTATTGAGGCAAGTGTCTGGCCTTTTGCTGTCTTAAAACTGAAGCTGACAGAAATTAATACTTCCATCCAATTCTGCTTCTTTTGCCGCGATGAAAATAATATTTTTTTAATACACCGCTTTCTTGGCTTGATAAATGATTCTTTTTAATATATATATATATATATATATATATGTGTGCATGCTTGACTCATGTTTTAGAAAATTGGTGATGGAAAGTTGGAGAAGTCATAGCACTGAAAAGAAAGCAAAAGTAAATGGAGGAAAGAGAAGAAATAAGAGAAAGAGAGAAGAAAGAAGAAAGAAAGAATGAAGGGAAGAGAAAAAAAGGAAGGAAAAGAAAAAGAAGAAAAGAAATGGGGGAACAATTGAAGAAAGGCAGATAAAAAAAAAAGAAAGAAGAAAACAAATATAATAAAGAAATAATGAAAGAAAAGAAAGTAAATAAAAGAAGAAAGGTGGGAAGACAAAGATCTCGAATGAAAACAAAAACGAAAAGAAAAAAGAAAAAGAAAAACGACTGAAACAAAAGAAAGAAATAAAACAAAAGAACATTCTGGAAAATGAAAAAAAAAACACACGAAATAATGAAAGAAAAGAAAGAAAGAAATAGTGGCAGTGAAAAAAAAAAGAAAGAAAAAACGTAGGAAGAAATAGATAATGAAAGAAAGAAAAGAAAAGGGTGAAAAGGAAGAAAGAAAAACACGAAATAAAAGAAAAGAAATAAAGAAAAGAAAAAGAATCGAAAGAAAACAAAGGAGAAAAGGAAGAAAAGAAAAAAGTTGGAAAAAAACAAAGAAAAACACGAAATAATGAAAGAAAGGAAGAAAGAAAAAAGGAAGAAAGAAAGAAAAATGTGACACTGAAAGAAAAGAAAAACGTAGAAAGAAAGAGATAATGAAATAAAGAAAGAAAACAAAAGAGAAAAGTGAAAAGAAAGAAAGAAAAACATAAAATAAAAGAAAAAGGAAGAAAAAAGAAAGAAAAAGAAAAAATGTGGTACGAAAAGAAAAGAAAAACTAAGAAAGAAAGAAAGCCTAGAAGTATGGAAGATGAAAACGAAAAAAAAAAAGAAGATAAATAAAATACAAAAGAAACGAAATGAAAGGAAAGCGGAAAGGAAAGAAAGACAAATGAAAAATAAAATAAATATGAACGAAGGAAAAAATACGGAAGAAAGAAACAAATAAATGTCGCTGATAGTATGAATGACTTCTATAAAGAAACAAAGCATTTTTTCTTTTTTTTTTTCACTTATATCTCCAAGCTTAAAAATGGCAGTGAATTAAAAAAAAAAAAGCCTTTTCCTGGAATTTAAAAAAAAATAAATATAAAATCAAAACTTTATGGCAAAATAAAAAAATAAATAAATGAATGAATAAACTTTTTTTTCAGTAATATACCAAAAGAAAGAAACAAGGGCAGATAAAGAAAAACGAATTTATATACTCAAAGGGCTTTTTCCTTAGCTTCTATAGCAAAATCATGATAGCACATAAATAACGAATGAATCATCGGTGGACCAGTGTTCTGCACGCTGTCAGAATGTACTGCGTTCAAAAATCTCTGAGTGAACTGCCAACACGCCCAGTTTCAAATCTCTACCTAACCTCACCCAACCTTCCCCTTACTTACCCTTCAACACCTACCTCCTTGAAGTCTGCAGGCAGCCGACAATCGACGATGGCTTACAGATTTCGACAAGACGTTCTGTTGGAAATACAATATGAACGAAATCAATTCGCTTTTCACTCGCAGTAAAGAACAAGGAATATTTGTTGTCGAATTTTTTCATTGGTGAAACAGAGAAAGGAAAACGCAAATATATATGCAAAAATGAGTGAATAAATAAATAAATTCTATTCTATTTTGTAGGGGGAGGAAAAAGTTAGTTGGGATAAGTAGTTCGGAGTTCCAATCTTTCACCCTGAAGGGCCTGGCTAATTCATCTATGTTCCTTAAGAATTTTTCTTTTTCTTTTTTTAAATAATTCCTTAAACCATATGTAACACTTAATTCTTTACATATTTATTTATTCGATGTACATAAACGGCCTTGTACAGCTCTAGAATGTTAGCACCTTTTGTTCATTGGGATTTGAAAGATAGCAGTTAAATGCTAGCGGACGCGAGAAATTTAAACAGATTTCAACGCGGGAGAGAGCATAAAGGGTGGGTCTGGCAAAGGGCTCCAAATATTGAGGATTTTAGTGAGAGCTAAATTTTTAACACAAATATCGTATTTGATGGCAAATAATAATCAATTCACCCCAAACAAGGACATAACGCTGCTAAGAAGCAAGGAGCTACTGGGAGTGGAAAAGAATGAAAACTATTTTAGAACTAACAAGAAATCCAATCCTAAACAGAAAACAATGGATAAACCTCTACTCCTGTTCAAAAGACCGCTGAGGAGAGCGAACCTATTTACCGCTATTTTTACACGCCCACCCTCATTTCAGTAGGGTATATTTAGTAATTTTTCTTAGTGCATTTAATCATGTAAAGTATAAAACAAGTTATCAGGATATTCTTCGTCTTCTATGTGCTGTGTCTGTTCGGGGAGTGGGCGATCGTAGCCCTCCATAGCTTTCTTTTTTTGTAGCTTTTAACATGGACTTTTTATATTTAGTATGTGTCTATATTTCTTAGATGAGGTATTATGTACACTATTTACATTATTCGGACTATTGTCCTCATCTTTGTCGCCATATTTATTACAACATTTCGGCCTTTCAGTATCTGTCTATATTTCAGAGATGAGGTAATATGTACACTATTTACATTATTCGGACTATTGTCCTCATCTTTGTCGCCATATTTATTACATATTGCAATATGAGCTCTGGTAAAAAAAAAAAAACATGAAATGATAACAGCAAAAATTGCAATATGGGCACTGGTAAAAATGGTTGCTGAAGACATTAGTTTTATAATACGCAGAAATCCATACACAGATGTCCTCAAGGACACATTGCACATTGGATAAAGGCGTTGGTTAGATCCAGTGACAGGACCCAAAGAGTGCGAGTTTAGTAACCTATTAAGGCAGTGGAGAGCTTGGGGAGGGGAATTAACTGGAGATAACTGACATCCATTAAACATGGCACGTGGAACTCGAACAGTCTACCCCAGTGAGCGAAATAAAGAGTTCAGTTCGACATTTCCACTTTCTGAAGAAGGCCGGAGCGTACAGCGGCCGAAACGTTGTAATAAATATGGCGACAATAGTCCGAATAATGTAAATAGTTTTTCATATTCCATGCATTTACAATCTGTAGTATTCGTTATGTAGCTTAATCGCTGTTTTAGTCTGTCTTTCATTGTCCCGAGAGTGTAAAATTCTCCAAACCCGCTTTCCTCATTATATATCGAAAAAAATACTCTGTCACTTTCTGATCTTAAATTTAAGCGTCCTTTTTGTTTTCATTTTTCTGGAAATTCATCGTTACTTTCCTGTTTAGTTCATCGCATTCTCAACATCTTTCTGTAGAACTACATCTCTGTTACATTAGATTTCCTCTTCATCTGTGATAAAATTGTCTCATTATTCACTGCTATATAGGAGGATAAATATTACATAGTAGTTCCGCACTCTTTTCTGTGATTCTAATAAAAATTTTCATGTTTCTTAATACTTTGCTTAGCTTTTGGAAGGCATTTTTCGCATTTTCAATGCGCCTTCAGATTTCGGTGTCATATTTTGGGTCCCCTGTTGTAAACACTTCCCAGGTGTTTAAAGTTTTGACACCTCCAATTCTAGTCTTGCATCCTGTTCTTTCTGACAACCGTGCAATCTGTATAGTTATTTTTGATAGTTAGTCCTTTCTTCACGCTTTCCTTTACTTCATTTTCCGGGAGTTATTGCAGTAAGTGAGTTCATTAATAATTACAAAAGCACTTTAGCTACAGCAGAAAAACATTGTTGGATATAAAACGCAAGGTTGCTCAACGTTTAACACACCGACTTCTTCAAAATTCTTTTTTTGGTCGTTGCAAAAATATTGTTTTCCAGGTTAATGGTTCTACCGATTCCTTTCTGTTATGAATGTCTTTTGTAGTTTATAGCCGGTTCATGATGGGGGGTGTATCAAGGTATATTTAGGAATGATGAGTCAGCTAAGACCGACGAACTTCGCAGGTAATTTACGATAATTTCTTTTACACTTACCATTACCAATAATAATAACAACAGCAATAATAATAATAGTAAAACGACTACTACTACTAATAATAATGTTGTAATCTATAAGGGGTTATTGATTGAGGAATAACTAAAACGGAGGTTGGAAATGAAATGTTAATCTTTATAACATCAACAAAATACAATACTCGCCAGCGGCGTCAAGTAGGTAAGCCACTGCTAAAGGTGCACTACATAGACAGCATATTACCCCCATTTACAATAGTGGCCCAACATATTTATGAGGATTGAGATTAGTGTTCATAGGTACTGTTTATAACAAATAAAAACAACAATACCAACAATAACAACAACAGCAATAATAATAACAACAACAACAATAATAATAATAATGTGCTATTATTGTCTTACCCAGGATGCGGATGTAGTTTATCGTCTTACCCAGGACGCGGATGTAGTTTATCGTCTAACCCAGGACGCGGATGTAGTTTATCGTCTTACCCAGGACGCGGATGTAGTTTATCATCTTACCCAGAACGTGGATGTAGTGTATCGTCTTACTCAGGGCGCGCATATAGTTTATCGTCATACGCAGGACGCAGTTTGGTTTGGTTGATTCATATTTTATGGATTATCGACCCTTCGAAGGTTATTTAATATCAGAACATAATTTTAGATAGTAATAATTCATTTTGAGATAATAATGTTTTAATGATACAAGTCTTACTAATTAACCCATAGCGAGGGGAGAAGATGTGAATTCATGCCTTTCCCAAGGGTATTTGCGCGTAAGTGAATATAATGAACCCGACTGGAATTGGAACTCAGCTCTCAGATTATCAATTCCGAGCCATTATCCATTACACCACCAGGCTTACACTATCTAGCATTCCCAAGTGGTCACACTTCTAGGTACTGACCAGGCTCGGGAATAGGTATGGATCCCTTTGCTCCTACTAGATATGGGCTAAACAGTAGGACTTGTATCTGGAAAACATATTAATGTAATATTGACTTGTGAAAAATAAATATTCTTAAAAGCTAAAATGTAAGATTGCTGTTTCCTATTTATAGATTGGATTTGGTTGTTGAACGGAGTGTTTGAATAATCAGAGCCCATCTCTTTATATCTGTGCTTATATATACTCAGAGCATATACAGATGACTTTCTATAACGGTGAAAATATCCGATGCATAATCGACTAATTACTGGTTAGCTGTTGTGATGTGATAATTTTCTTTTTAGACGAGAACAATGTCAAAATTTTGCTGATGACAACAATTTAAATTTTTATGCAACGTACATAAAATATATATGATATCTCTGATACGATATCTGTTAATAAATAAAGATGATATCTTAGTTAATATCTTAGTTATCTATGCTAATAAATAAATATGCTATCTGTTGATAAATTCCTTCAGATTTATAACATTTTGACATGTGGCTCTGTTCCTGCAAAACTCCGAGTCGAGAGGTAAATCACGGAAGTTATATATATATATATATATATATATATATATATATATATATATATATATATATATATATATATATTCATGTTTCATTAAAACGACAGACAAAGTGCTACGGTTAAGCTTTTATTTAATTTATCTTGTGTTTGAACAAGAGCTTACTTTTCTGGACAAAGGGTGTGTAAAGAACTGTCCAAATGTTTTATATTTTCGAGCGCTTTCGGCTATACCTTTAGCCATTATCAAGGATGATTCGATTTTTCATCTTAATTGAGTGTGAGCATTCTGTGTATGTCTTAGTGTGTGGTAGGGATGTTTTTAATTTCCGAATACGGTTAGCACATTGTGGCTTTGTTCGTAGTTAATATTGTTAAGAGTTGGCTTTTTTCTTTTATATATATATATATATATATATATATATATATATATATATATATATATATATCTACACACATTTACACAAACACGTTAGATAGCTCTCTCTCTCTCTCTCTCTCTCTATATATATATATATATATATATATATGTATCTATGCATTTTTATATATATTGTTATATATTTGTATTCGTGTATGTGTACTCATGCGCATATAAGTATATTTGGGATATTTATATATATTTGTGTGTTTATGTGTTTTCTTTTTCATATATTAACTGCTTTTATTTTAAGTGTTGCATTTTGCCTAGTGTTTTTTTTGTGTGTGTGAATGCGTATAAATTTATTTTTCCATCCATTTCTATATATTTTAGTGTCTTTTTTCTTTGCGTTTTTCATTGACGATTATTTGTCTTTTTATTCTACCCCACTTAAATTTTATCTATTGAATCCTTTTTTTTATCTATATATTGTAAGTAAAATTTTAATAGGCTATTTGAATTCGTTTACTAACACTTTCAAAACTGAATATTTGTAGGTGTGTATATGTGTGTGTCTTTATTAATGTATGATCGCTTATATATGCCTTTTATTGTATGTATATGTTGTCTGTTTTTTTAAGGGTCGTGTATATCTGTATATTTCCTGTTTCGTTCGTGTTTTTGCGTGTTTATATATCTAAATACGTCTACGTGTTTGTGTATTACAATCTGATTGTATATGTATTGACTTTTGCAAGATTTCATCCTCCCCTGCTCATATTACCACTTCAAATGTATCTAAGTTGTAACGAAGCTATACATCCACATTAGATTTTAACGTTTATTCTAACTGAATTTTTGGCCTTTCAATAAAAACAAAATAAATAACAAAACATGCATTTTTTTCCTCACTTTCTTCTTAAAATAATTTTATAATATTTTAAACTTAATATAGATTAAATTTAAAATTTAAAATCGTTAATTTTTCATTTTCAATTTTATAGTAAAATTTAATATTAATTAATTAGAATGATTTCTATTTTAGTCTAACCCTAAAATTAAAGAATTAATGATTAAAACAAAGGTTCGTTGTCAAGTTTTTTGAATTCTCATATACTTGTATTTTGTTTGGTCATTGCAGCTTATGTAACAGCGTTTTCCCTAGCGAGGGATGTTTGATTGATTTGAACCTTTTAAAAACCTTTATTCTATATTCAGTACCATCACTTGATAAGACACCATAAGTGTTGTAACAAAATGGCTATTTTTGTAGTGGCTTTATAACATATTTATGTTATAATTTTCGAATAAATTATATATATATATATATAGTTAGTTAGTTTATGCAAAACTAGGTAATCCGTATGTGTAGACCCAAGGAGGATGATATCCAGAGAGCTCAATGTAAATTCAGTGCAAATAAATTTGAATAAAAACAGACCACTTTAAGGTTCCATGTAATAAATTATTTCACCACAGCCCTTTTAAAGGGCTCTGGATCACCAGACTTTACTTCCAAAGGTTGAAATGAAAAATGAAAAGAAATTTACACATTTTTGACGGCCCGTATTAAGCATATGTAAATTAACGAAGTGAGGAAGTGAGGGGGGAGAGAAGGCGAAGTGAGGAAGTGAGTGGGGAGAGAAGACATGAGTGAGTTAGATGCACCATCTCAATTCTTTATCCTTAAGCTCACTTGGTGTGGGCCAGACATCGCTTAACTTAACGTATGTTATCTCTAGATGTAGATGGGTAAGGGGTGAAGAAGAAAAAAAATGACATAAATGGAAAAAGATACAATAAAATAAATCATGAGAGAAAGTTTCACTCAATTTCTTAGACGCTGTTATTTCGCATTACTTTAAAGGGTATATTTGGGGGTTAAAGTTTGATATAAATCTAAATGTCTAAAAAATCTACGAAGAATTTAATTTAATGTTTGTTGGAGTTTGGGGTATTTTCCATGAAATAGTCGATTGGAAAAAAAATCATAGAATGTACATTGAAAGAATAATTCCTTTTACATCTAGTAATCTTTTTTATTTTCCTAAACATTTTTCTTGTTGATTGTTAAGTTGACATCTATCCGTTTGAGTTTTGTTCATAAATTAAACCCGTGACTGTTTTTAGATATTCCAATTTAAATAATTTTATCATCAATAATGATTATTAAAGGGTAATATATTTCAATTTAAATTAAATTATCAATTTAAAATTTACCTCCGTATTATTTAAACTCATTTCCAATTGGAGAATATTAGAGGAGAAATTTGGATAAAACATTACTAAGAAAATTAGGTCCTTCTTTTATAATATTCTATATATCTATACACATACACACCTCTACACATATCCGAACACCCATCTATATCCACATACATACATATCCCTATATACATATAAATCCATATATACACATACACACACATACACATAAAACTATAGGCATATACCCATACATACACATATACACCTGTAGAAAAACACATACACACATATATACATACATATCCACACATACACATATATACTTACATATATACACACATATATAATTATATGTATATATATATATAAACACATATATACACACACATATAAATACCTATACATGCACATCCACACATTACACGTACACACACATATACCTATACACATACACACACACACACACACACACACACACATATATATATATATATATATATATATATATATATACACGCATACAGCCACATACGCATGCATTCAAAGAACATATCAATATCCATACGTAATTACATTATTATATCTATATTCTCCCATATATATACGAATACACAAAATCATTTGGAAGTAAAGTCTGATGATCCTGAGCCCTTTTAAAAGGGCTGTGGTGAAATTATTTATTACATGGAACCTTAAAGTGGTCTGTTTTTATTCAAATATATATATATATATATATATATATATATATATTTATATTGTCATCTAGAGACAGACTGTTTCGCTGTATTACACCTCTTCAGTATGTCTAGACGTCCGACTGCTTCAAGCCGGGATCGAAACTTGCGACGATAGCCTCGGGGTAGGATCTCTGACATTGTCGCACGTCAGGGAAATTTTAACGTTTTCTATACGAAATACACTAGTGGTCCGGAGAACACAATTCGTACTTGAAGAGTAATGCATTAATAGCAATAGGAGCCGCTATGATACAAGCTATATTTTTCCTAGTCATACATATAATATATACGTATAAACAAGATTTGGCATTATATTACTCTCAGGGTTGATGTACCATAAAACCTAGCCCCCCCCCTAAAAAAAAAAAACAACCATAGGTTATCCGCTGATTTGCTCTGATCCTCTTGCCTTCAGTATGCCCTGCGAGTGTCAAATTTTCTAAACCGTCTTTCCTCATTATCTGCCCTAGATATTTAAACTGCCACTTTTTGATTTTAAATATAAGTGCTCTTTTTGTTCCCGTTTTGCTTAAATCTTCCCTGTTGGTCACATGCCTCGACCATGGTATTCCCAACATCCCGCTGAAGATCCAAAACTTTGATGCCTCGCTTCTCTTCTTCATCTGCGATGAAATCGTCCAGTATCCACACACATCCAGGGCGGGGGAGTGATATGACATAGCAGTTCAAACCCGTTGTCTTGTGTTTTTTTAATTTATTATTTAATTTTTTTTTTGAAACGGGACCATTCTGTTTCGTGATACGTTGTTTAACTTTTGAAAGATAGGCCTGTGATTTGTGTTTTTACGTGAAGCGGACATCTTCTCCAATCACTTCACCCCCAAGAAAGGTGATAAAGCCACTAAGACGTGAGTGGAAAGTGGACATTTAGGGAATGTGAAAGAATATGAGAAAAAAGTATATATTTAGAAGAGAGTACAAGAAAAGAAGAAGAATTAAGAAGACAGGAGATAAAGATTGATATTGAATTTAAATTACCAAGGAGAAAAGCTCAACAGAATAGTTAACACAGAAAGGACACAGGAAAGAGAATTTACGGCGGTGGGAGAAGGACAGAATTTGAGATGCCAGATCAATACTAATAAAATTGCAAATTCTTCTTCGTATTTTATCAAGAATGCCTGAATATATACGTTACCAAAAATATTACTAAAAATTATAATTTTTTAAATCCTTTTCTACCAAGCAAGGAAATAAATCCCCTAAAACGCAAGGAGGGTTAATGAGTGTAACAGAATATGAGAAATCTTTCTCTGCAGAATCTGCTTACATATCTATGTCTACCTTTCGTCAATGCTTCGAATATTGCTGCCATATATGGTCAGGTGCTCCTGCTATTTACCTAGAGCGCCTTGATAAGATCCAAAGAAGCATCAGCAATATTATTGGTCCTGATCTGGCATCTCGGCTTCAGTTACAATTCCACCGTCTCAGGTTGCCTCCCTGTGTCTTTTCTATAAATAATTTCATGGTAATTTTTCGGATGAGCTCTTTGCTTTGTCACCAAGACTTTATTAATTTAAGCGCAGTACTAGACTGGTGTCAATATATCATCAGTCGACAGGTGAGCTGGCTGAATGTAGCTGTCAGTTACTTTTCGCGCACTTCTCGCTTGTGGAACTCCCTTCGGATTCTTGCTCCCCAACTTTAATCGGCAATGTAAATAAAATGTCAATCGCTATCTACTGTCCTCTTGATTTCTCTTTTCTCTTTCCACTCATTATTGTCTCTGTTCCTGATTCCACGCACACCCTGCGTTTTAGTGGCTTTATTGCCTTGAATGGGGTGATACCGATTAAAAAAAAAAAAGAACAGGAATTATGAAGGCAGAAAATTGACATTGAATTTAGATTTTTGACGATCAAAGTTGACTGGGAAGCGAGAAGCCGGCAGAGAGTTCCACAAGTGAGAAGTGCGGGAGAAGAAACTGTTAGCATAGAACTTGCGGTTATATCTAGCCATTTCAAATGTAGAATGATGAGACCTTGCCGCCAATCTAGTAATGCACTTAAATTTAGAAAGAAGAAAGTTCATCAGAACAATTGCCAAGAAAATATTTAAAGGAAAGACACATAGAATCTACATTACGGCGATGAGAAAGTGACTGAAGCCGAAATATTCGTTATCTATCTATCTATCTATCTATCTATCTATCTATCTATTCCCATATATATCTCATTACCTATCTATTTCAGTTTGTTCATTATCTATCTATCTATCTATCTATCTATCTATCTATCTATCTATCTATCTATCTATCTATCCCAGTTTGCTAATATCTATCTATCTATCTATCTATCTATCTATCTATCTATCTATCTATCTATCTATTTCAATATATATCTCATTACCTATCTATTTCAGTTTTTTCATTATCTATCTATCTATCTATCTATCTATCTATCTATCTATTTCAATATATATCTCATTACCTATTTCAGTTTGTTCATATCTATCTATCTATCTATCTATCTATCTATCTATCTATCTATCTATTCCCATATATATCTCATTACCTATCTATTTCACTTTGTTCATTATCTATCTATCTATCTATCTATCTATCTATCTATCTATCTATCTATCTAAAGAAAAGTTCATCAGAACAATTACTATAAAAATATTCATAGAAAAAGTACAGGAAAGCTACGATACGGCGATGTGAATGAGACTAATGCCGAAAGGTTCATTATCTATCTATTTCAGTTTGTTCATATCTATCTATCTATCTATCTATCTATTTCCATATATATCTCATTACCAATTTGTCTATCTCAGTTTTTCATATCTATCTATCTATTTTAATATTAGTTTAGGTACTAGAGCAGACAGTTCGCTCAGAACAATCACCAAGAAAATATTTATAGGAGAGACAAAGGGAAGCTACAATACGGCGATGAGAAAGTGACTGTAGTTTAGATGCCAGGTCAGGACCAATATCATTGCAGATTCTTCTTTGTATTTCATCAAGCTTCTCTAAATACATCGTAGAAGCAGTAGACCAGAAGTGATTCGATATTCAATGAATGGACGAATGGTAGACTTATAAATATGTAAGATAGATCTACCACGAAACAGTGAACTAATTTTCTTAGCAGTAGACCTAACAATTGATTCAATATAATCTTTTCACCTGATGTCTGCAGAAAAGAAGGCACAAGAGAATCATTCCCTGGAGGTTACCATCAACCATGCAGATGGAATGTAAAAAGGATTCTCTGAAACGATTAAAAGAAAGCAATTGTTTTGAATAAAATTATATGCAATAAATTCAAATTATATAGTTGTCAAATAGATTGGTTTCATTAATATTTTTCTTGCGATAACTTTCGGTTGCATTCGTATAAATACAATCAGAATTTTTATATCCTAATTATTCCAATAACACTTTTAGTTTCCCGTTTCTGGTTAACTTAGCTAGGGTATGCATGCTCATTGGTCCTTTTTTATTTCTGTCCCTATTTTTCTTTGTTTAATTCCCAATCCCTACCCTCGTTAGGTGGTCAGTGATGTCAGTTCTCTGGTTGTTGATTGTCATGGGATGACTTTCGTTTCGTGTGTGTGTGTTTTCGTATTTGTTATTGTGTCTAAATGTGGTGCGTGTTTGTGGGCGTGATGATTTTTTTTATAATGTTATAATCCCACAATTATTTCTGTCCAGTTAACTAATGTTTCTGCCACATTTAGGGATTGTGTTTTTTTTTATTACTAACTCTATTTTGTTTTATGTAAATAGTATTAAATCATATTGTAAATAATCATTGTTTTTTTTGGGTTTTTTTAATTGTTGTTCCCCCCCCGCACAGACTTTGAAATGTACATATGGGGAATAGTTAGGATTTCATAGAGAATTTGAGGTATTATTGTGGACGTAGTAAGAAAGGTAGGAGTGAATGTGTCGTTTTGGTGATAGGAATATTGTTGGTATGTTTGGGTCCGTGTCTGTGACTAGCTAAGTTTAGAATTAAGACAGAAGAAGACCGTCCTTCCCCAACCCCCTTTTTGGCCTTGTGCCACATTTTGTACAAACGTACGAATAAATAACTATTCCAATAACACTTTTACAAGACGCAGGTTGTACAGATCATATAAAGGATATAATAACGTTTTTTTATAGGCTCGTGTTCTTTTTTTCCTATTATTTCTCGTTAAATTATAATCTTGGCTTGTTTAAACAAAATAATACGTCATAAATATAGCCTAAGCTGTAACATTTACTAATAATTTTACGTATTACTAATTTTTTCTTGATATACCCTGCTGAAATTGGGGTGCGACTTATACAACCTGGCGTCTTATATGCCGTCAAATATGCTAGTTTCACACCATACCACAATTTGCTACAAAACCAAAATATTATTGGAGTCATGTTCTTAACTGACTTCGTCAGTTCTAGACTCTTCCATACCGTGCATGGCGTCCAGTTCGTTCAGAAATATCGAAACTATCAACCATTTTCTCATATCATTGGTTACAAATGGCTTTAAGCTTATCTTTCAAAAGTTCAGCGATAATTCTTCTGCCGCCACTTGTTTGATGTACGTAGGTCCTTACGTTCCGTACAAACAATTTGACAGTTTGATGTGCGTAGGTCCTTACGTTCCGTACAAACAATTTGACAGTTTGATGGCCGTAGGTCTCATGTTCCGTACAAACAATTTGACAGTTTGATGTACGTAGGTCCTTACGTTCCGTACAAACAATTTGACAGTTTGATGTACGTAGGTCCTTACGTTCCGTACAAATAATTTGACAGTTTGATGTACGTAGATCCTTACGTTCCGTAAAAACAATTTGACAGTTTGATGTACGTAGGTCCTTACGTTCCGTACAAACAATTTGACAGTTTGATGTACGTAGGTCCTTACGTTCCGTACAAACAATTATTTTTATTTCATGCGTGCCTTTCGCTAGATTTCATAATTATTTTCGATTATTCCCAAATTTATTTCCAAGTTATAAAAATTGTCATCGTACAAAAAAATTTGTCGCCAAAAAATTACGTAAAAAGTCGCCGAAAACAATCTCAGTATTGAAAACATGGGAATCCAAAATTTCAGGATTGCTGGTCCGGATCAGGCCCAGAATGTTTATTAATTTGCTCACGGAGTCGGCCTGATTCCATAATGTTGGTCTACGGCCTCTAGGAGTAAAGTTGAAAAAGTGTGACACACTGACACACTGAGATTCGCATTTATTTATTTATATAGATAACATTTCCACTTCAATTCGGGGTTCTTTCAAACAGTTAAATAAAGCAGTTTCGTTTTGGGAGCGTTTAAATTAACAAGTCATTTCTTGTCCCATTTAACAACGGATTGTAGATCATTTTGAGCTCAGCTACTAATTTATCCTCGTCGAACCGATCAGATTTAGTATCAAGACAGGAGTAAAGAGTTGTCATCAGCATAGATACTGAGTTTAGAACTGATGACATCAGGAATATCATTTATGCAATTAAGAACAACGTAAGTCCAAGGACAGAGTCCTGGGGAACATCTGCATTTATGCAAGATGATCTAGATGAGTGGCCATTCAAGACAACTTTCATTTCGCGATTTCATAAGATTGAACCAGTTCAAAAATTTGTCCAGAAATACCACATTTCAACTTGTGAAGAAGCCCAATATGCCAAAACCTGTCAAATTCCTACGAGATATCTAAAGCAACAGCCTAAGCTTCACCATTCTTATCTAAAGCTTGATAGACTCTTTCAGGAATCATCGTTAATACATCAAGAGTTGACCTAGTGGAGCGAAAGCCATATTGCTTATCTGTAAAAAGACCTTGCGATGTGAGATGCTTAACCAGTTGAAAGTTAATTAGAGCCTCTAGTCAGTCAGTGATACACGCGTAGGCGATTATGTATCTTTCGATACATTGACGAGGCAGATTTTTTCCCGCAGTAGGTTGCCATTTCTTTCTGCAGTAGATTAGTTTCCATCCAAGGCTCTAGAACCCGGTCTGTCCTGCTATTTACCCATAGCTAGGAGGAGAAGAAGAGGATTCATACCTTTCTCAAGGGTATTAGCATGTAAGTGAATGTAATAGATTCGACTGGAATTCGAACCGCTATCCATTACTCCACCGTGCCTCTGTTGGGAATTCGTTGGATGCATTGCCAGATCTAGCAGCAATATTCAAAGCAAGGATGGCTGGTAGTCTTATAAATAATGTAAGATAAATTCCTAGCTGCTGACTTAGCAATTGATTCAATATAACCTTTTCACTTCATGTCAGTTGAAAACGTTATTGCATGAAGGAGCAATGAGTAACTCTCCTGGAGGTTAGCATCAGCCATGCTGACTGAAGGTAAAATTGGTTCTCTCAGATGATTAAAAGACAGCAGTTTTCGTTATGGGGCGTTAAAATTAACACGCCATTTCTTGCCTCAGTTAACAGTAGATCTAGCTGTTAATTTAACTTCATTGAACCGAGCAGAAATACTATTAGCACAGGAATAAATGGTTGTCATTAGCATAGACGCAGAGTTGAGAACTGATGACATCAAGATCAGCAATTTCTTTTTTGAGGCGTTAAAATTAACACGTCACTTCTTGCCCTATTTGACAACAGATTGTAGGTCATTTTTTAAAGATCAGCTGCCAATTTGGTCTTATCAAATCATTTATTATTAAGTCAAGAGTAAATAGTTGTGTCATCCGCATAGATGCCGATTTGAGAATTGATGACATCAGGAAGATTGTTGATGCAAATTAGGAAAAACGGAAGCCAAAGGAAGAATGATCATCAGAACAATTATCATAGAATAATTTATTGCTTAAAATAAGAGTGTTCAAGAATTAGTGTTTTCTTGGGGGATGGCTCGGATTTTTGTTCGTAGATTTTCTTTCTCGAAGCGGAGGGTGGAGATATATCGTACGAAGATATTGATAGCTGCGCTGAGCTATAAGAAGCGTTGCCTCCCATACCAAAACGAAAGAAAAAAAAAAAAAAAAGAAATAAAAAACGTGAAAGGATCAATGAAAAATAGCCGAAATCCACGAAAAAGTGGTTCAGCAAACAAAAACAACAAATCAAGCAAACAGCAAAATGGCGGAAGAATTGAACGAAAGAATTACTGTATATACATTTTCACGAAGCAGCACACAACTGACTCTTCAGAATGTTTTCTTCCAGAAACTTCTATTCATCGACCAAACACCCACCCACCTAAAGAGGGCTGAGCATGAAATAGGCATAGATATATATATTTTTGTCTACCAACATAGATGCGCCAGCTTGAAAAAGGAAGTGTTCCTTTTGACTTTCCTTACCGGTTGTTTCAAAAGACAAACAAACAAATGAATAAAAAGAAAACGGAAAGAAGACATATACCTTTTATCTATATATTTATTTTTTATTTTATTTTCACGCCTATTAATTTATTTATATACAGAATCTTTTAGAAGGACGAGTTAAAAATAAAGAAAAAAAAAAAACGTTTTGTTGTTAGAGTCCCTTAGAAGATTAACCTTCCCGAAGTGATTCGATCGGGTACAAACAGATGTGCAAATGATTTATATATATATATATATATATATATATATATATATATATATATATATATATATATATATATATATATATATATTCCGAAATTTCATCTTATATCACGGTGGAATATTTAGCGATTATTATTTTTTTTTTTTATATCGAAACGATTTGTCGAAAACATATTTCGGGGCACAATTTAAAAAAAAAAATCAAATTTCTTTCTTTTTGATTATTTGTATATTTTTACTTGTACTTTCTTTTTTCATATTCTCTTCTTTTTTCTCATTCTCTTCTTTTTTCTCATTCTTTTCTTTTTTCATATTCTTTCAGAACTCTTCCCGCTTCTTTCTTTCTTTCTTTCTTTCTTTCTTTCTTTCCGTTTGTACTTCTATTTTTGAAATTTATTCTTTGTCCATATTTTCCATATTTCCGACATTTTCCCGATTCTTTCTTTCTTGTCTTCTATGTTCATTTGTTTGTTTGTTTCTTTCTTTCTTTCTTTCTTTACGTTTGCACTTTTCTTTTTTATTTCTTTCTTTTGCCATATTTTTCATATTTCCAGTAGCTTCCCACTTCTTTCTTTCTTTCTTTCTTTCTTTCTTTCTTTACGTTTGTACTTTTCTTTCTTATTCTCTTCTTTTGCCATATTTACAACCTCTTCCCTTTCTTTCTTTCTTTCTTTCTTTCTTTCTTTTTTTATTCATTCACTCATTCATTCTTTCTTTCTTTCTTTTTTCATTCATTCATTCATTCATTCTTTCTTTCTTTCTTTCTTTCTTTCTTTCCGTTTGTACTTTTCTTTCTTATTTTCTTCTTTTAGCATATTTTCCATATTTCCAACCTCTTCCCGTTTCTTTCTGTCTTTTTTCTTTCTTTCTTCTTTTTGTTTGTACTTTTCTTTGCCATATTTCCAACCTCTTTCCGTTCTTTCTTTCTTTCTTTCTTTTTTCTATATTTATACATTTCGTTATTTTCTTATTTTTCTATTTTATAATTTTTTCAGAGCCTTTCATGTTTCTACCTCTCTCTCTCTTTCTTTCTTTCTTTCTTTCTTTTTCTTTTTTCATGTTTGTACATTTTTTCTTATTTTCTTATTCTATTTTATACTTTTTTGAGCTCTTCCTGCTGCTCTGCCTCTTTCTTTCTTTCTTTCTTTCTTTATTTCTTTCTTTCTTTCTTTCACTCTTTCTTTCTCTTTATTTCTTTCTTACTTTACGTTTGTACTTTCCTTTCTTATTTGCCATATTTTTCCAAATTTTCAACCTCTTCCCGCTTCTTTCTTTGTTTCTTTCTTTCTTTCTTTCTTTGTTTCTTCCTTTCTTTCACTCTTTCTTTCTTTCTTTCTTTCTTTCTTTCTTTCTTTCTTTCTTTCTTTCTTATTACTTGCGTTTTCTTTCACTGTTTTTCCTCCTCCTTTTTTTCCAATTTTTTCCACTCCTTTAGGTTTTGGAATTAGATAATTTATAAGATGCAGCATCGAACAGACGTCAAACTCTTTGACTTTCACTGAGTTCATGTGATACTCATTTATCGAGTTTCTTTGCCTTGCCAGTTTCCTTGAGATGATCCGATATTGCTGTAATTTTGCCACTCATTATCTGAGACATTTCTCTGACACTTTGACGTAGCTTTTGTTCGACTACTATTCCCAGATATTCATTGTCAATTGCCGATGGATGTCTACTATTTCCATTTTCAAGACTCGTATCCCCACTGAGGAACTTCAGAAACTAGCGCTCTACTCTCCAACTAGAAATGGATTCACCATATACTCTGTTAGTGTTAGCATGAGCTTAAAAAGCATTATTACCATCCTTGACCTCATGCAAAAAAAGTAAACGCATTTCCATTTTTCATGTTCAGGATGAGGGGTATATAATGTTTTATATTAAATTCTTAAGATATTGATATAAAATTAACAAAGAGGGCACTTCAATCATTAAGAATGAGTAAAATATGTGTGCAAATATTATAATAATTTATTAGAACATAAATAAAAGTTTGTTTTAAAATAAGACATTATTTTCCGAACGGCCTGATACTATTTTCAGGATGCGTCACGTATTTGAGAACAGGATTCTGAAAGTGATGATGTTCACTAACCGCCCCACGCGGTCGGATGCGGCACAAGGCCTACTTTATTGTGGGGCATCCGAGCCAGTAGGATCAGGCAAAAACATCCCCTAAACCCGTAAAAACGCGGTCGGGTAGCTGTCTACCACCCCAGACGAGACTCTGCGCTTTGGCATAGCCTCGTCTGCGTTCCTCTTTGCGCAGAGGCAGAGAGTTCGACAAGCACACCTCCGAAGTAAATCGGAGAGAGATTGATATTCACTAACTGCCCCACGCGGTCGGATGTGGCACAAGGCCGAGTTTATTGTGGGGTATCCGATTCCGTAGGCTCGGGCAAAAATTCCTCGTAGACCCCGTAAAAAACAGGGTAGGGAAGCTGTCTACCACCCCAGACGAGACTCTGACATTTGGCATAGCCTCGTCTGGGTTCCTCTCTGCCCAAAGGCAGAGAGTTCGACAAGCACACCTCCGAAGTAATTCGGAGAGTCATTGATATAATATTAACACAAAGGACACTTTAAATTATTAGAAATGAGTAATATATTTGGTGCAAATATTATAATCAAATTTAAATAAAAAAAAAAAAAATTAAAATTGCGCAGAGAGGAGTTTTTGATTTTCTGATATATAAATAATGTGGGTGTGGGTAGAAACAAAATCTCACTCTATTTACACGATAAATGGTGCGGTGTTCATAACGCTACATTGGCGGTAATAGTGTAATTAAAAACAGACTCTTTTTGCTTCCCCTATGTAGTATCATTTCACTTTACAAGTAACGAAGTCCATCTGCTGATTGGTTGATTGTTTCGTTTCCTGCAGCTTATCAACCTTTTGCAGGATATTTAAAGCCATAAAGAATTTTTGGTTTGTAAGAAAATCGTTTTGAGATAATAAGTGATCTTACTGATTAACCCATAGCTGGAGGGAGAAGTAGTGGATTCATTCCGTTCTCAAGGGTATTTGCGCGTAAGCGAATTTAACGAGACCAACAGGAATTGGAACTCTGCTCTACTATTAACAATTGCATTACATTATCAATTGCACCACCCGTATATACCTTATTGCACTTGGTATTCTCAAACGGCCACCTAGGTAGATACTGACAGGATAGGCGTTGCTTAACTTCAGTGATCGTACGGAAATCAATGTTTCAACGTGATGTATCGGTAGGATATACAAAACTGACTCATGAAAGACTTGTGAATAGCCATAGGGATACCATTTGGTATTATATTTCAAATACGGATATTCGTGGTCTTTATTTTATACAAGGTGGAAGCACTTCAAATTGACTTAAACACAGATTACATTTGTTTATTATCTATGAATTGCCATAATTTCTTGGGAAAGACAGTGGAGTGGTTTCCTGTTGCCTTCTCCACAGATTCCTTTTCTTTATTATCTGTGAATTGCCATGACTTCTTGGGAAAGACAGTGGAGTGGTTTCCTGTTGCCTTCTCCACAGATTCCTTTTCTTTATTATCTGTGAATTGCCATGACTTCTTGGGAAAGACAGTGGAGTGGTTTCCTGTTGCCTTCTCCACAGATTCCTTTTCTTTATTATCTGTGAATTGCCATGACTTCTGGGAAAGATAGTGGATTCTTCTTCACAGATTCTTTTCTTTATTATCTGTGAATTGCCATGACTTCTTGGGAAAAGACAGTGGAGTGGTTTCCGTTGCCTTCTCCACAGATTCCTTTTTTTATTATCTGTGAATTTGACTTCTTGGGAAAGACTGTGGAGTGGTTTCCCGTTGCCTTCTCAACAAATTCATTTTCTTTATTATCTGTAAATTCTCATGAATTCTTGGGAAAGACAGTGGAGTGGTTTCCCGTTGCCTTCTCCACAGATTCATTTTTCTTTATTATCTGTGAATTGCCATGATTTCTTGGGAAAGACAGTGGAGTGGTTTCTTCTCCACCATTCTTTTTCCTTATTATCTGTGAATTGCCATGGCTTCTTGGGAAAGACAGTGGAGCGGTTTCCGTTGCCTTTTCTACAGATTCCTTTTCTTTATTATCTGTGAATTGCCATGACTTCTTGGGAAAGACAGTGGAGTGGTTTCCCGTTGCCTTCTCCAAAGATTCCGTTTTCTTTATTATCTGTGAATTGCCATGACTTCTTTGGGAAAGACAGTGGAGTGGTTTCCCGTTGCCTTCTCAACAGATTCCTTTTCTTTATTATCTGTGGTGCCATGACTTCTTGGGAAAGACAGAAGTGGTTTCCATTACCCCTTCTCCACAGATTCCCTTTTTTTATTATCTGTGAATGCCATGACTTCTTGGGAAAAGACAGTGGAGTGGTTTCCGTTGCCTTCTCCACAGATTCCGTTTTCTTTATTATCTGGAAAGACTTCTTGGGAAAGACAGTGGAGTGGTTTCCGTTGCCTTCTCCAAAGACTCCTGTTTTTTTTATTATCTGTGAATTGCCAAACTTCTTGGGAAAGACAGTGAAGTGGTTTCCCATTGCCTTCTCCACAGATTCCTTTTTCTTTATTATCTGTGAATTGCCATGACTTCTTGGGAAAGACAGTGGAGTGGTTTCTGTTGCCTTCTCCACAGATTCCTTTTCTTTTATTATCTGTGAATTGTCATGACCTTGGGAAAGACTGTGGATTTCTTGCCTTCTCTACAAATTCATTTCTTTATTATCTGTAAAATGAATTCTTGGGAAAGACGGTGGAGTGGTTTTGCCCCTTCTCAGATTCCTTTTCTTTATTATCTGTGAATTGCCTACTTCTTGGGAAAGACAAGAGTGGTTTCCATTGCCTTCTCTACAGATTCATTTTCTTTATTATCTGTGAATTGCCATGATTTCTTGGGAAAGACAGTGGAGTGGTTTCCTGTTGCCTTCTCCACAGATTCTTTTTCCTTATTATCTGTGAATTGCCATGACTTCTGGGGAAAGACAGGAGTGGGTTTCCTGTTGCCTTCTCCAAAGATTCCGTTTTCTTTATTATCTGTGAATTGCCATGACTTCTTGGGAAAGACGGTGGAGTGGTTTCCCGTTGCCTTCTCCACAGATTCATTTTCTTTATTATCAGAATTGCCATGACTTCTTGGGAAAGACAGTGGAGTGGTTTCCGTTGCCTTCTCCAAAGATTCCGTTTTTCTTTATTATCTGTGAATTGCCATGACTTCTTGGGAAAGACAGTGGAGTGGTTTCCGTTGGATTCCTTTTCTTTATTAGAATTGGACTTCTTGGGAAAGACAGTGAAGTGGTTCCCATTGCCTTCTCCACAGATTCCTTTTCTTTATTATCTGTGAATTGTCATGACTTCTTGGGAAAGACAGTGGAGTGGTTTTCCGTTGCCTTCTCCACAGATTCCGTTTTCTTTTATTATCTGTGAATTGCCATGACTTCTTGGGGGAAAGACAGTGGAGTGGTTTCCGTTGCCTTCTCCAAAGATTCCGTTTTCTTTATTATCTGTGAATTGCCATGACTTCTTGGGAAAGACAGTGAAGTGGTTTCCATTGCCTTCTCCACAGATTCCTTTTCTTTATTATCTGTGAATTGCCATGACTTCTTGGGAAAGACAGTGGAGTGGTTTCCGTTGCCTTCTCCACAGATTCCTTTTCTTTATTATCTGTGAATTGTCATGACTTCTTGGGAAAGACTGTGGAGTGGTTTCCTGTTGTCTTCTCTACAAATTCATTTTCTTTATTATCTGTAAATTCATGAATTCTTGGGAAAAGACGGTGAGTGGTTCCCGTTGCCTTCTCAACAGATTCCTTTTCTTTATTATCTGTGAATTGCCATGACTTCTTGGGAAAGACAATGGAGTGGTTTCCCGTTGCCTTCTCTACAGATTCATTTTCTTTATTATCTGTGAATTGCCATGATTTCTTGGGAAAGACAGTGGAGTGGTTTCCTGTTGCCTTCTCCACAGATTCTTTTCTTTTATTATCTGTGAATTGCCATGACTTCTTGGGAAAGACAGTGGAGCGGTTTCCCGTTGCCTTTTCTACAGATTCCTTTTCTTTATTATCTGTGAATTGCCATGACTTCTTAGGGAAAGACAGTGGAGTGGTTTTCCGTTGCCTTCTCCAAAGATTCCGTTTTTCTTTATTATCTGTGAATTGTGACTTCTTGCCCAGGAAAGACAGTGGAGTGGTTTCCGTTGGATTCCTTCTTTTCTTTATTATTGGAAATGACTTCTTGGGAAAGACTGTTGGTTTTCCCGTTGCCTTCTCTACAAATTCATTTTCTTTTATTATCTGTAAATTCTCATGAATTCTTGGGAAAGACGGTGGAGTGGTTTCCGTTGCCTTCTCAACAGATTCCTTTTCTTTATTATCTGTGAATTGCCATGACTTCTTGGGAAAGACAATGGAGCGGTTTCCGTTGCCTTTCCACAGATTCCTTTTCTTTATTATCTGTGAATTGCCATGACTTCTTGGGAAAGACAGTGGAGTGGTTTCCGTTGCCTTCTCCAAAGATTCCGTTTTCTTTTATTATCTGAATTGCCATGACTTCTTGGGAAAGACAGTGGAGTGGTTTCCCGTTGCCTTCTTCACAGATTCCTTTTCTTTATTATCTGTGAATTGTCATGACTTCTTGGGAAAGACTGTGGAGTGGTTTCCCGTTGCCTTCTCTACAAATTCATTTTCTTTATTATCTGTAAATTCTCATGAATTCTTGGGAAAGACGGTGGAGTGGTTTCCCGTTGCCTTCTCAACAGATTCCTTTTCTTTATTATCTGTGAATTGCCATGACTTCTTGGGAAAGACAATGGAGTGGTTTCCCGTTGCCTTCTCTACAGATTCATTTTCTTTATTATCTGTGAATTGCCATGATTTCTTGGGAAAGACAGTGGAGTGGTTTCCTGTTGCCTTCTCCACAGATTCTTTTTCCTTATTATCTGTGAATTGCCATGACTTCTTGGGAAAGACAGTGGAGCGGTTTCCCGTTGCCTTTTCTACAGATTCCTTTTCTTTATTATCTGTGAATTGCCATGACTTCTTGGGAAAGACAGTGGAGTGGTTTCCCGTTGCCTTCTCCAAAGATTCCGTTTTCTTTATTATCTGTGAATTGCCATGACTTCTTGGGAAAGACAGTGGAGTGGTTTCCCGTTGCCTTCTCCACAGATTCCTTTTCTTTATTATCTGTGAATTGTCATGACTTCTTGGGAAAGACTGTGGAGTGGTTTCCCGTTGCCTTCTCTACAAATTCATTTTCTTTATTATCTGTAAATTCTCATGAATTCTTGGGAAAGACGGTGGAGTGGTTTCCCGTTGCCTTCTCAACAGATTCCTTTTCTTTATTATCTGTGAATTGCCATGACTTCTTGGGAAAGACAATGGAGTGGTTTCCCGTTGCCTTCTCAACAGATTCCTTTTCTTTATTATCTGTGAATTGCCATGACTTCTTGGGAAAGACAGTGGGAGGGTTTCTGTTGCCTTTCTCACAGATTCCTTTTCCTTATTATCTGTGAATTGCCATGACTTCTTGGCAAAGACAGTGGAGTAGTTTCCCGTTGCCTCCTACACAGAT